ATCCGTAAATCCTGGATTTACCGATTTGTCGGATTTACAGCGCCCCGATTTGCGTTTGACTGGATTTACCGTAAATCCTACTTAAAACGGCGAGTAAATCCGATACCAAACACCCCCTTAGCTTAACGAGTTTTGTCTATCAACAACCAAAATCTTAAAGAAAGATTAAGAGGTGTTGAGTGAATGATGAGATGGCGAGTACAAGTTAAGGCCTTTTGCGGTTTGAATTATTTTGACTCTTTGTATGGTTCAATTATTATAAGAAGTGTATAAATGAATTAAAACGACGTTACTTCGTGTTACAAATGAGATGATTTTACAAGAAAGCATTCATACTTGATACATAAACAAAAATTATCTTGATCGGGCACGAATCTCGAGGCAAAAGCTAGTTGGAAACTTCAAAAATTAATTCCGGGAACACCCAAACTCCGATTTCAGCAAGCTTATAGTCAAATTGAGTGCCTCAAAAATACGAACCCAACGACACCAAGATCAACCCAATCCGAGCTCAAATGAGTCTGAATCAAGGGCTCAAAGCGCTGTTGAAAGGTTCAAACTGCAATTTGAGTTACCAAACGGTCTCCGATTTTGACGAGCTTATACTCGAATCGAACGGCTCGACGAGATGAATCCAACGAGCCCAAGATCGCTGAATTCCGACAACACTAAGGCCTTTAAATACCCAATGAACGGTGCATTTGATATCGCCCGTCCATTCAAAACACTCCCAATTCGCCCCTGATCTCACGCCTATTTACGGGCTATGCCACTTCAGAAAAACTATAAATAGAGCCCTAATTCTACACCAAAGGAACTCAAGTGAAGAGATAGAATAAGAAGGGAAGAAGAAGAGAAAGGGGAAAAGGAGAATCCCCTCCTCCTCGACCACCGCCGGAGCTCCTCCTGTCGCCCGAACACGCCGGGATTCTGCGTGATATTCAGGAGAACGCAGGAATTCTTCCCAACTTCCACATGATGCTGAAATTCTTCCCAATTTGCAATAGAGTTCCCTCCTGACGCCAAAACTCCTCCTAAGTGAAGCCGGAGTTCTCTTTTGCCACCAACAGACGTCAGACTTCTACCCGACGTCGAACCTTCACTCTTCGCCAAGTTTCTACCCAGCGCCGGACTTCTACCGGTTATCGGACTTCGCTGGACGTCTACGCAAAGATGGATTTCTTTCCATTATTGGACTTCTACCTGACACTGTCCTTCTGATCTTCGCCGTCAGACTACAGTCCTTCTGACCTCCATCGCCAGCCGACTAAGGTCCTCCTAACTTACGTCGCCCGCCGACTACAGTCTTTCTGACATCCGTCGCCCGTCGACTACGGTCCTCCTGACTTATGTCACCTGCCGACTACAATCTTTCCGACCTCCGTTGCCCACCGACTACGATCCTCCTGACTTACGTCGCCCGCCGACTACAGTCCTTCCGATCACCGTCACCAGCTGACTACTGTCCTCCTGACTTCCGTCGCCTGCCGACTACAGTCCTTCCAACAAAGCGAATATGTCAATATTAGCTCTTTGTATTTATGTCATGTAACGTACTCTATAAGATGTACATCAAGCTAAAGCCTTCTCCCAAGGAAGGGCCTCATTTGTAATTGACTGCAAATACTAGCGGATCCGTTCAAACTGGGCTAGGCCCCGTGGTTTTCCACCTTTTTTCAGGGGTTTTTCACGTAAAAATATTGGTGTCTCATAAATGCTAGACACTATCTCTTATCTGATTGCGTGCCGGATTTTCGTACAGCGCTAAGACGATAAACTTTATATTTCTCTACCGCCGCAAATACTCCTGGACGCAACAGTTTGACGCCGTCTGTGGGAATCGTACCCATGACCACATGGTTCCCGACTGGGGGGGGCAATTTTGGCTCCAACCTCAAAAGATCTTTCTACTGCTATTAATGCATCAATTTCATGGAGATCAAATTCCGACTGGGGGGCAACCTTGACTACGATTTTAGTCAAGAGAATCTTTTCAAGAATTTCAAAACCAAGATGGTATATAAGGAAACTCCCTAAAAATGCAAGGAAGATTCCGATAAATTTCAAGCCACGTACAGTCTCTTACTAGACTTCTACTTCTTGGGCAAGATCTTAATATCGATCTCAAAAAGATGGTAACGGTCTAAAGATAGACATTTCCTCAAATTTGATTCGGGATACACGCGGCGTCCGCCCCCTCCCAATCAAGGAAAAATAAATCCCAGGGGATTCGATTCGACCTCTTCCACACAGGTTAACATCGTCGAGCAGGGCTCCGACATACAACCTCGGATAGGTCTTACATCCTTGGTGGATTCTCTCGACCTCTTCCACACATGTTAATGTCATCGAACAAATGTTCAGCATACAACCTCGGATAGGACTTCTACCTGACGTTGAACTTCTACCCGACATCGGACTTCTTCCTGTCGTCGGACTTCTGCTCGTCAGCAGACTTCTACTTGCCGTCGGACTTCTGCTTGTCGACGAACTTTCGTTGGTCTTCTACCCGACGTTGAACTTCTACCCGACATCAGACTTCTTCATGTCGTCAGACTTCTGCTCGTCAGCGGACTTCTACTAGTCGTCGGACTTCTGCTCGTCGACGAACTTTCGTCGGTCTTCTACCCGACGTTGAACTTCTACCCAACATCGGACTTCTTCCTATCGTCGGACTTCTGTTCGTCAACGGACTTCTACTCGTCATCGGAATTCTGCTCGTCGACGAACTTTCTTCGATCTTCTACCCGACGTTGAACTTCTACCCGACGTCGGACTTTTCCTTGTCGTTGGACTTCTGCTCGTCAGCAGACTATTACTCGTCATTGGCTTCTGGCTCGACTGCTACTTGCAACGCACCCTCGAAGTCTCTCATTTATCTCCACACTCGATCGTTGATTGCTAATGGGCTTCAATTCGATCGTCCATCACCAGCAAACTTCTGCTCAAAAGGCATTGAAATCCCGTAAGCTTCTGCACGTGATGAGGGGCGCTAATTCGAGTAGGAAAAAATTCCCACTCGCAAATAACGGAAGCCTCAACCGTCAGAAAGCCGGAGTGAGAGGAAGAGAAATCATGTAACTCCTGCACGCGAGGAGGGGCGCTAATTCGAGCAGGGGAAATTTCCCGGTCTCAAATAGCGGAAGCCTCAACCGTTAGAAAGCCGTGGAGGAAGGAAGATAAATCTCGTAACTCCTGCACGCGAGGAGGGGCGCTAATTCGAGCAAGGGAAATTTCCCGCTCGCAAATAGTGGAAGCCTCAACCGCTAGAGAGCCATAGGGAGAAAGAAAGAGAAGTTGAAAATAGGGGGCAACTGATACATACTCCAAAAATTATCTTGATCGGGCACGAATCTCGAGGCAAAAGCTAGTTGGAAATTTCAAAAATTAATTTCGGGAACACCCGAACTCCGATTTCATCAAGCTTATAGTCAAATTGAGCGCCTCAAAAATACAAACCCAACGACATCAAGATAAACCCAATCCGAGCTCAAATGAGTCCGAATCAAGGGCTTAAAGCGCTGTTGAAAGGTTCAAACGCAATTTGTGTTACTAAACGGTCTCCGATTTTGACGAGCTTATATTCGAATCGAACGGCTCGACAAGACGAATCCAACGAGCCCAAGATCGCCGAATTCCGACATCACTAAGGCTTTCAAATGCCCAACAAACAATGCATAATCTAAGGATTCGATATCGGCCGTCCATTCAAAACACTCCCAATTCGCCCCTGATCTCACGCTTATTTACGGGCTATGCCACTCCAAAAAAACTATAAATATAGCCCTCATTCTACACCAAAGGAACTCAAGTGAAGAGAGAGAAGAAGAAGGGAAGAAGAAGAGAAAGGGGAAAAGGAGAATCCCCTCATCCTCGACCACCGCCGGAGCTCTTCCTGTCGCCCGAACACGCCGGGATTTTGCGTGATATTCGGGAGAACGCAGGAATTCTTCCCAAATTCCACATGATGCTGAAATTCTTCCTAATTTGCAATAGAGTTCCCTCCTGACGCCAAAACTCCGCCCAAGTGAAGCCGGAGTTCTCTTTTGCCACCAACAGACGTCAGACTTCTACCCGACGTCGAACCTTCACTCTTCGCCAAGTTTCTACCCGGCGCCGGACTTCTACCGGTTATCGGACTTCGCTGGACGTCTACGCGAAGATGGATTTCTTTCCATTGTTGGACTTCTACCTGACGCTATCCTTCTGATCTTCGCCGTTAGACTACAGTCCTTCTGACCTCCGTCGCCAGCCGACTACGGTCCTCCTGACTTACGTCGCCCGCCGACTACAGTCTTTCCGACATCCGTCGCCCGTCGACTACGGTCCTCTTGACTTATGTCGCCTGCCGACTACAATCTTTTCGACCTCCGTCACCCGCAGACTACGGTCCTCCTGACTTACGTCGCCCGCCGATTACAGTCCTTCCGACCTCCGTCGCCAGCTGACTACGGTCCACCTGACTTCCGTTGCCTGCCGACTACAGTCATTCCAACAAAGCGAATACATCAAGCTAAAGCCTTGTCCCAAGAAAGGGCCTCATTTGTAATCGACTGCAAATACTAGTGGATTCTTTCAAACTGGGCTAGGCCCCGTGGTTTTTTCCCCCTTTTTTCAGGGGTTTTCCACGTAAAAATCTTGGTGTCTCATAAATGCTAGACCATCTCTCTTATCTGATTGCGTGCCGGATTTTCGTACAACGCTAAGACGATAAACTTTATATTTCTCTACCGCCGCGAATACTCCTGGACGCAACAATATTAAATGTAATGTGAAAATTATAATAATATGAAAAAAAAAACATATAAATTCAATTTGTATAAATTATATTTTATTTCTTAAAAATTGATTATCTACTATTTGTATTACTATAAAATAAAGAAAAATGGCATTGAAGTATAAAAAAAAAAAAAAAAAAAAAAAAAAAAAAAAAAAAAAACACGACCAACAAGAGAATAAAATCAAAAAGCTACTCCATTTTTATTTGTATTCTCCAACCCAGCCCCAAACAGCCATGGCCTCCTTCCTCCACCGAAGTCGAACCACCTCTCACCTCTTCCAAAACCTTAGAAGCCTTAACCCCTTAAGTGCTCACCTCAACCCCAAACCCCTCCATACGCCTCCTCCTCCATTAAAGCACTCAAAACCTATCTCTGTTATTCATTTATTCTCATCAAGAAGTTCCAAAACCATGAACAATTCCTGCCTCCATGATCATTCTATCTCGACCTTCAATATTAGATCTCAATCACTTATTTATGAAAACCCGGCCATTACCAATTCCAAACGGTCCTCCTCGACTTTGCCGAAAAATCCTCAGCCCGAGTTGCGGCACCAGGAGATCACCGGCCCGACGGTCGAACCCGACATCTCTCCCCTCGCCAACGAGACCCGCGAGGTACTCGAATCCCTTCGAAGGTCCGTATACGATCTAAGTTCCGCTCTCGCGGTGCTTGGTGTCGCCCACCTAGGTCTCGGCGCGTGGATCGCGTACGCCGTGCGGCCACCGAACGAGGTCTCTGTCCAGGGCCTGGCTGCCTTTGCCTTTCCTTTCTCGGCGGCATTCCTCTTACGGAGGACTGTTAAGCCTATGACGTTTTTTCAGAATATGGAGCAGCAGGGGCGGTTGCAGGTTCTTACGCTTGCTTTACAGGTTTCGAAGAGTTTGCGGGTTCTGTTTGTGAGGATGCGAGTTGTTTGTGTTTGCTGTGTCGTTGGAGTTTCTGCTGGATCGGTGGTGACTTTGTGGATGCGTTGAGTTGGTAAGTCCTGCTTCTTCATTTCTGTTCTTTTATTAGTTCGTAATTGTTATTGGCTGGTTAAGGATCAATTATTGACGAGTACATGGCTAATTGGCTATGATCATTTATGTCTGCTCAGGTTACAGTTTTGATGATTTACACTTTTAGAGATTGTGGGATTTTCGTTCCCGTTCCAATTGAATGGAGCAATGATTTTTCATTTTGGATGGAGCAATGATTTTTCACCCCTAAACGCAGTTCTAATTTAGCATTCTTAAGTGTTATGGAAGTAGCTAAGGCTGTAAACGAGCTGGGTTGACTTTTATTTTGCTTTAGAAATTTGCCAAACAGTATTGTCTGTTTATTTTCATCGAGTTTGAGCTGAAGCCAGGTTTTGGTTGAGCTTTACTAAATGTTTATGAAATGAGAATTATTTGGACGTATAAGCTGACGAGATAACATAAAATTTCAGTCAGTGTCATAAATTGTGCTGTGATTTGCTTCTTTTTCAAATTTTGAACTAAAAGTATTGATATGACTAAAAAAATTAGAAATACGCAGCTATTTGTTCAATAGAAGCTCTATTCCTTTTTTTTGTTGACATTTAGGTCAATTAAGACAAACTCACACACATATCATATACTCAAGACTTAAGCCCAGGATCTCTTAGTTAATAGCCAAAGCTCCTAAATAACATATTAAGGCTTTGTTTGGGACAGCTTTCTTACTGCTTCTTAAAGCAGCTTTCTAGTACAAAATTTTTAATTTGTGTGCTAAAAAACTACTTTAAGAAGCAATAAGAAAGCCGTCCCAAACGAAGCCTAAGTTGAGTTGCATATAGAAGCTATATTCTACTAATACCTCTGCTAATGTTCCTCAGCTCAAGTAGATAGGAGGAAAACAAGTTTGATAGAGAAAGATGAATTAAATGAGCAGTTTACCAAGCTATTTGTTGAATGATAAATGATTATACCGACAAACATATGCAATATCAAATAATTTGTATTTATATATCAAACTTTAAAAATTTATGCTGAAGCTTATTCAATTGTTAAGGTGAAGAAACAAATAAAATTCATAATAGAGCCAAAAACAAACAATTCAAGCTTATTCTGAATTTTGGCATTCTACTTTATTTGTTGTGCTTGTGGTGAATCTTATTTATCTGTAAATGTGAAGGTTATTATCTGCGTAATCAATCAGTCAGGATAACCTTCCTACAAATTGAAGCTAGAAATTTTTCAGGTGAAAGTTGAAATGGAAACCTCAATCCACATCCTTGATAGAGCTCGGGAAGTAAAAATGCAATTTATTTTGCATGGTTATTGCCATCATAATTAAAATTGTTGACGGTGACGGTATCATATATTTAGGCGTCAATCTCCTTTCATTTTTCAGCTCTACAATAAAAAGCAGCTTTGTTCTTATTGTTTTCCTACTTGGACCTAATATAGTAGATCTTCACTGCAAAGTTTATTTACATTTGCTTAAAACAAATGCACCACTATGGTGGGAAAAGCTATGAGTCTCATCCAATTATCCTTTTCTTTAGTAAACCATATTCATGACTTCTGGTTTATGATAAAATTTCATCTTTCTATTTCTTAATTCAAATAATTCTATTCCATTATTTTACCATCCAATTTATTTTACTTGAAATTTTTTGTCTTCCGAAATTTCAACTAGTGTATACTAAAAGTGGTGGAAAAAGAGTTCAAAAAGTTTGTTATTTGTTAACTCAAGAAATTGTTTTTCCTGTTGAATTTAGTTTATTTGTTAACTCAATAAATTGTATTTCCTGTTTAATTTTGTATTAAATATTTATTTATTTATTGTTGTTTGCTTTAGTTGTCTAACTCCATCTGAAATGACCGAATTGCACCGAGAAGTTCATCAAACCTTTTACTACAAAAGTGGAGCACCAAGCTCTTGTTCATAAAATAGAAAACAGAATCAACTTGTTACTCCGCAAGTTTTGAACTTTTACCACGCTCATTAATGATGCCTCCTGCAACCCTTCCTATCTTATGTACTACATGTACTCTTTGTTTTTCACAAATTTTGTAAAGCTAATGAGATAAATTTGTTTTTTTAATTTTAACCTCCTCTTTGTTAACTTGACTCTCGGCCACTTTAAACTAGCACTAGGTACTGTTATTCTTATACTGCCCTTTGAGTACATTAGCTGTAATTTACTGTTGCTTTATGATTTTCGATACTTTCTCAGTATCTTTTTTATCAGTATCTTCGTATAGTATTTTGAAGTTTGAAGATCATATAGATGGTTAGCGTAATGAAGATAGATAGGAATCGTAGCATTATAAGCTTAGTATGTACTAGCAAGATTTTCATGAAATGCAAGGAAAATAAAATGTTTCAATGAATAAAATTATATTTTTATCTAGTTATTTGGAAAACAGTCTATGTTTCACAAGCACATCAAATTTTATGTATTATGTTCTGTGAAATACAACCATGTAAAATGCGTACTAACAGCAAGATGCTAAGATAAAAAAAAGTGCATCTGTAAATTAAACAATAAAAAAACTGAAATAGAAAAAGCTGAAAAAAATGAGCTTCGTTGTTAAGGAATACAGAGCAAGCTTTGTTTGGGATGATTTTCTTACTATTTCTTAAAGCAGTTATCTAGTAAAAAAATAAAATTTTGTACTAAAAAACTGCTTCAAAAAAATAGGAAGAAAGCCGTCCCAAACGAAACCTAAAACTAAAGTTCTTCACTATCTGTCCTAAAGGTATAGCAAACCAAAAACAGACAATAACATTGGTTACTCCTATGCCAAGAAGATACAAAGTAATCATAATACATCGAATAACTATGATTGATTAAGATTTTGTTTGAAATAGCTTTGTTACTGTTTTTTTTTTTTAAATTTTAGTACAAAATTCTTTTGAATTAGAAAGCATCTTTAGAAAGTAATAGGTAAGCTATTCCAAATGAAGCCCAAGATATGTCTCATTATGTATATCCCATGTTACTTTTTTGTTTAAATACAAGCCCTTGGTATATGTGCAGATCGAAAATGATGACCCCTGATGAACTTCTACTTTATTAGGTTATTTGAACACAGCAAAAGAGAGCATGATACCAAATTCTTTAGCAAGTTTAGAAAAAAAGAAAAAAAAAAAAGAGGAAGCAAACAGTAACTTTTATAGAAAACATTAATTGATAAATTGGGCATCAAACTATATGACTTATTTTACTATCTAATTAGAAATTGGACATTAGAAATACCTGATTTGTGTCCATGGTGGCATAAACAAAAGGATGAAGCAAAAATAAAGACGGTCTAAAGTAATTCCAAAATTTTATGATATGTAACTATTCCTAATAAGCTTAAAGAATGCACCTTAATTATGCAGATATAAATTATGATAACAAAAAATATAGTTAAAATAACATTGTAAATAAGTTATTATGGTTTGAATTAAGGAATGTGGTGACAACGGATCATAAATATGTCACAGAAATTTTATGTGCTATAGTAAAAAAGAGCGAAGGTGGCAAAAAGATATGTTGAACTTATTGTTGCACGTTTCTCTTACTTTTGTTTATTTAGGTTTTATTTGGAACAATTTTCTTAATGCTTTTAAATCAACTTTTAAGTACAAAAATTTCTAACAAACTGCTTTGTAAAGTAATAAGAAAGCTGTCCCAAATGAAACCTTAAATGCACATGACAATGCCAACAAACATCAAAATAAAGTGTAATGTAAAAATTGTGAAAAGAAATAAATTTTCATTGGTTAATTATGCTTGAGAGTGCCTTCAAGAGACACTCTCGACTAATAAAAACATGTTTGTATTTTCATGAGCTTATGTTAACATGAAGATTTCCTATGATTTTAAAGTGTTGTTATCCTTATAGGGTATTCTATACATTAGGACAAATTTGCTCAAGTGATATGACAAATCATCGTAACTAAGTAAGACAATCAGCTCTCAATATTAAAATTTTGGCGATCGTAATCATTCAATTTCTGAACAGAGATGAAAGGCTTAAAATAGTTCAAGTGTGACATTTTTCAGGAAGGAACCTAAAAAAGTAGAAATAACTTGGACAATATTTTATGGATTCATCATTTTAGGTTATCAAGTTTAATTATGAATTCATCATTTTAGGTTATCAAGTTTGAAATCACTTGGCTATAGTGAAGGTAGTGGAGCTTGGATAGTCAACCAAGCTCGACCGTGGGGTGCTTTATTAGCAAATATGAATTACAATTCTAGAGAGAAGATTTATAGGGGATAGAACTAGAAAGATGCATGACTTCAATATCTAAAGGTATAGGAATGCCTATGAGGAAAAGGGAATTTGATAACCCAGTTGTATACAATCAAAGCTGCTCAATTTGATTTTTAATCCTATCTGGATCAGGACATCCATTATCTAATATGTTAGACAGCCACCTAGGTGTATCAATTAAAATCATATATATAGTCAAAAGTTTTATCCTGTGGATATGATATGAATGCAAAGTTAAATGTTCTTCATATAAGGAAGTTAAACCATATGCATTCAGAATGTCAATTTTATGAACAACTAGTTGGAGGTTTCATTGTTGGCAAGCTCAACTTTGCATCTTCTTAAAGAGATATAAAGATAATAATTTTATTTAAAATTTAGTCTAAAGCCATATGATTGAATTTTAAGAAAAAAATATTCTTAAAGTGATTTTAAAGTTAATTATCAATTTATTTACATTGATAGAAATGGTCTTTTCCTAATGGCCTATCACAATGCATAATCTTTTGACAAACCACACAACAATAAAAATGTGAAATTTAGGCCAACTTGCAAACCATTTGGAGTAATGTCTACAGGAGCCAAACATTGTAGTCGGCTTTGCATATACATAACTGGTCAAATAAAAGTAAGAAAATGTTGTTGGACTCTGCATAGTACAACCCAGGCTCTTAAATATATACATCAATCAAAGTTAACAAGGTATAAGTTTAGGATTTCTTTAGGTTCATCATGAGAGTTTTTTTTTTGGGTTCATCATGAGAGTTTATGGTTCATTTGGTCCTAAAAGTTCCATGGATCATCATGATTGTTCCTTGTTCATCTATTCCCAAATGTAATCATTATGGATTTTTGAAATACTCGGTCGGGAGTACTTTGTTTGTATCATATTGTACTTACAAAGCTTTCATAATTAAAACTAAATATAGTTTTGCAAAATTAAAATACAAATTATCCAATGCAAAACCATACCAAGTAATTTACATATCATCATAATAGTTGATGGAGGAGCAAGAATTGTCGTACGAGGGGAAGGATGAAAAAGCTGAGAAAATTGTCTTATGATCTATGGCATAACATATAAGAGAGAGCCCTTCTCTCTTGATTTGATCAAACACCCTAAAAATATATATGAGACAAGATTTGTTGGCCCTGAACTTCTATATAAATTGATTCTTCTTCCTAACAAGCTAATTCTTTTGCAAGTTTT